CTAGAGCAGCAGAAAATGCCTCTTCTTGAGCTTTAGTCATTGGTCCCAGATTTGGCTCAACATCGCCAGACAACATAAGTGTTAAGGCAAACAAGCATAACACATTTCCGATGCACAAACTATAAATCGCTTAAACACATCTTTTAGTATATATATATATATATATATATATATATATATATATATATATATATATATATATATATATATATATATATATATATATGGATGAGAAGCGACGAAGAGGACGGTGAAAATGACGTGGACAACCTCTACGAGTGAGCTTGAGACGCCTTCTTGTCCTCCCAGAGTTCATTCTGTATTTTGTCCCGTAAAGTTCTCTCCCCGTAACTACATTGGTAGCAGGAGCGAGGTATTCACTTCAAGCAAGACAGAGCTTCGTAGAGGGCGCCTAGTGGCCTCCCCCATGGCGACTGAAGTCAAAAATATCGAATCTTCTCCGACTACCGTGCCTTCTCCAACCACTTCCGTGCTTTCTCCAACTGGCCCGTCAACCCTCATTTTGGAGCCCTCGAGAGATCCACTTACCCTTTCCGGCACCGAAGACGTTGATGTAGAAGCCTGGCTGAAGTCATACGAGTGAGTGGGTGTACGTAGCGATGGGACCCAACGCTCATGCCGGTAAACGTGATTTTTTTTATCTAAGAGGCACCAGAAATATTTTGTATGAAATGCACGAGAAAGAGCTGACTAGCTGGGAGTTATGCAAGCAAAACCTCCGGGAATTATTCGGCGGGCCTATGGGAAGTCAACCAGCCGCCCTAAACGAGCTCTCACGTCGGATTCATGCGTGCACCGAATCCTACCTCACGTTTATTCAGGACGTGTTCGCTTTGTACCGCAAGGTGGACTCGCAGATATCTGAAGCCGATAAGGTTGGTTATGTTATTAGGGACATAGCAGATGATGTCTTTCACCTTCTTGTGTTCAAAAATTCGTCTACGTTCCAGGAAATTATTTCTGCGTGCCGGCGCTTTGAAGAAGCCAATAACCACCGTGCTCTCCAGCAGTTTGCCCACCGTCCAAACACGGCTGCAACATTCACATGCGAAGACCCTCGCCTGCCTTCTACGGAAAGTCTCGGTGAGGTTGTCCGTATTGTCCGTCAGAAAGCAGAAGCCGCGGCTCGATTCGCGTCACCCTCCCCCAACACCAACAGCTATAACGCCACCGTCTCTCATATCCAGACAGTCGTGAGGCAACAATTGGCCAGCGCCTGCTTGAGCTTCTGCTCCATTCATCGTCCAGACTACGCCCAACCGAATCCACCTGTGATTGTTGCGCCCAACCAATTTTTATTGCAACCCCACGTTATCGCAACCTGGCGGAATGGCGCACCCTAGATGACCGGCCAATATTCTTCGATTGCAGGTCGTATAAGCCACTGTTCTCGCCACTGCCGTGCTTGGTCTAACTCTGCTCCGTGGCCTCACTCTCCACCCCAATCGCCCACCTGTCCTAGAATAAACGCTCGTCACCGCAAACAGAGCCGCTAACGCCTGACAATTCCTTGCGCCCTCGATCCAGCCACTCCGCTTCAGCGCAACGCCATTTCTCCCGCTCGCCTCCATCTCACCGATAGCCGTCCCCAAGCTCTTCCGGCGCTCACCTCCGGAAAACTGACGAGAGCAGCTCTTGGAGGTGACACTGCAATACCGACCCGATGCCGAAATCTTCTACGGACCCTTCCCACACTTCGGAACCTGATCAATGTGCCCCACCGCGGTGGTCTAGTGGCTCAGGTACTCGGCTGCTGACCCGCAGGTCGCGGGTTCGTATCCCGGCTGCGGCGGCTGCATTTCCGATGGAGGCGAAAATGTTGTAGGCCCGTGTGCTCAGAAATATTTCGGGTGCACGTTAAAGAACCCCAGGTGGTCGAAATTTCCGGAGCCCTCCACTACGGCGTCTCTCATAATCATATAGTGGTTTTGGGACGTTAAACCCCACAAAATCAAATCAAATCAACCTTATCAATGTTGACGTTGGTGGTGTACCAACTACGGCCCTCATTGACAAGGGCGCTCACGTGTCTATCATGAACGCTGACCTTAGAACACGGCTGAAAAAAGTCCTAACTCCTGGCCCAACTCCTGTGTTCCCAACAGCCGATGGTGAAACATTCGACGTGATTGGTGTGTGCTCAGCTCGCGTCAGCGTCGCTGGACATGACACATCAGTTCTTTATGTTTTAGAACATTGCCCTCACGGCATTATATTGGACCATGACTTTTTGTCTTATTATTCGTCCTTGATAGACTGTACTGCCGGTATAGTGCAACTTGCTCTACCTACTGTTGTTGATCCTCCAAGTTGCCCTCCAAGTAGGCTCTGTTCCACAGAACACCTGCGTCTCCCTCAACGAACAGTTGCTTACATAGGCGTCTCCCCATTCCACCTATGCAAGACGATGTTTATATTGTGTCCCCCAATGTTGACGTCCTCGTTTCGCGCAACGTTGCGTTTCCTCACACCGTCGTCACTATGACAGCCAACGCACCCTGCCTAGCACTAGTGAATTTAGGCCTATGTTCAAAAGTCCTTCCTCCTGGTACAGCTCTCGCTGAAATCACTGCCGGCGGCAGAGTGTCATGTTTGCACTCTAAGGTATGACAGCATCCCGAGTGCAGGGAAAACTTCACCTACTCCAGACCAAAGTGTCTTAACAAAAATGATGGCACTCAACTTAATGTAAAAACAAGCTAACGAACTGACTTCCCTCCTTGCATCTTTTTGGAAAATCTTCAACCTTGGCGAATGCCCCCTCGGTGAGACGTCTGCTGTTAAGCATCGGAGTGATACAAGTGATACGAGTCCCATTTATCGGCGACCCTACCCCGTTTCCCATGCTGAGCGGTGCATCATCCAACAGAAGGTCGACAAAATGCTTTCTCGCACTGTCACCGAGCCTTCCTGCAGTCCATGGGCGTCCCCTGTTGTACTTGTCATAAAGAAAGGACAGCAGCTGCAAATTTTGCGCCTATTATCGGCATTCACACAAGATCACGAAGAAGGACGCCTATTCTTTACCACGCGTAGACGATGTCCTGGATAGCCTCCACGGCGCAAAATATTTTTCCTCCATCGACCTTCACTCCGGGTACTGCCAAATAGCCGTTGATGACATGGACCGTGAGAAGACGGCGTTTATCATTCCCGATGGCCTTTACCAGTTTAAAGAGATGCCATTCGGTTGATGCAAAGCGCTCGCCACGTTTGAACGTATGATGGACGCCGCCCTGCTGCACGGCTTCAAGTGGTCTATCTGCTGTGCTATCTGGACGACGTCATCGCTTCTTCTCTTCTTTCTCGATGCACCTGGAAAAGCTATCGAAAATCTTAGCTGTCTTCCATTCGGTGGGACTGAAACTCAACTAGGCAAAGTGCCACATCAGCCGTCGTTAAATTCCTGTGCTCGGACACCTCATTGATTCCGTAGGGGTTTGCCCTGATCAAGATAAAATACGCACAGTAAAATATTTCCCTGTACCATTCTGTACCAAAGACGTTCGAAGTTTCGTTGGCCTCTGTTCTTACTTCCACAGTTTTGTTAAAAACTTCGCTGACGTCACGTGCCCTCTCACTCAACTCCTCAAAAAAGACGCTGGCTTCATCTAGGGCCCTGAGCAAGCAGATGCTTTCTGAAATCTAGTGCAGCTGCTTATTTCTCCTCATATCCTTGCTCACTTTGACGTCTCAGCTCCAACAGAAGTTCGTACAGATGCAAGCGGCTATGCCATTGGTGCAGTTAGTGCCAGAAACAACAAGGGCGTGACCGTGTTGTTGCCTATGTCAGCCGCCTTCTTTCGCCTGCTGAGAGAAATTGTTGAATAACTGAACGCGAATGTTTGGTACTTATTTGAGCAGTCGGGAAATTTTGTACATATTTTTACGGTTGGCCATTCACAGTCATCACTGATCACCACGCCTTGTGCTGGTTTTCGTCCCTGGAAGACCCTTCAGGCGGTCTTGGTTGTTGGGCACTGCGCCTTGAAGAATTTGACTACTCAGTCCTGTACAAAACCGGCCGTTTGCACCAAGGTGCCGACTGCTTGTCCCGATTTCCTGTCAACCCTCCAGACGGTGACTCCTCTACAACCACCCTTCCTGCCGACGTTTTCTCTCTATCCGCATTTTATGACAATGGAATCGAGCAGAGACGGGATACTTTCTTGAATGGTATTATTCGAGGGCTAACATCGGGGACGCCCGATCCTTCCCTTCGAATATTTGAGTGACATGATGGTGTATTTTACCATTGCAATATATGTCCTGACGGCCCAGAAAGACTACTCGTCGTTCCCCTTCATTTGCGTCAGAGTGTTCACGCCCAGCTTCATGATGCACCGAAAGCCGGTCACCTCGGCGTGTCCGGACCTACGACAGAGTTCGCCGGCGCTTATTCTGGCCTGGTTGCCACATCTGCCATTATGTTGCAGGCTGTGACCCTTGTCAGCGACGATAAAAACCAAATGCCCCTCCTGCCAGATGTCATCAGCCACTGGACATCCCACGAGACTCATTTTACCGGGATTGGCGTGAACCTGCTTGACCCTTTTTTTACGTCAGCTGCAGGGAATCGGTGGATTGCAGTAGCAGCCGATTATACCACCGAACACCCGATCAGCACAGGCCCTTCCAACCAGCTGTGCAACTGATGTGACTGATTTCTTTTTGGAGGACGTCTTCTTACACCACGGCGCCACTCGACAACTCCTTACCGACCGAGGCAGCTACTTTCTTTGAGGATATTACCTCAAAGGAAGGATACGATTCACTTAAGGATTAAGGATACGATTCACTTCGACGAAGGCAGGCCCACCTGCCGAAACGTTAGTAAAACTAGTGTTTTTCACACGTTTGTCGACCTATTTTTCTACCGCATATATATATATATATATATATATATATGTGTGTGTGTGTGTGTGTGTGTGTGTCACGTCGAATAACTGCCCACTGTTCTGTGTTCTTCTCAAACGCAGATGCTAACCTCACTCTGTACGGATCGTCATGCAATGGCTTCGGTTTAACCAGCAGTGATTTGGATGTGAGCTTGACATTTGAGCACAGTAAAGATGGCAAGGTGAGTGGTAGTCTTCAACGTATGCCTGAACAGCATATAGAAAAAGACAAAATAGGTGCGTTTCACGGCAGTGTTTCTAGCAATTTGGGAGACCATATTCGGTGCTACACGTGTTCATGAACCAAAATCTGCACCATTTCCGCCGCTGGACTAAAAAGGATACGCCGAAATCATCTTGTCTAATGGGAGGTTCGGCACATGCGACACTTTGCGTCATTCTCTTAAGCCAGGCCCGTAGCCAGGGGGGGGGGGGGGGGAACAAATCCTACCCCTCTCAATTTTGCAGAAGGGGGCGTATTTTGGCAAAAAACGTGGCTGATCCCTCTTTTTAGGTATCCGTATAACACGAAAGTGAAACGTGGCCTAGCAGACGTAGTTGAACATTCATTGTGTATTTTTTCGCCTCAAGGGTAAAAGAACGAATGCTGCATTGACAAATTGCAATGCCAAGTGAAGGACACCAAGCAGCTCGAAACTTGCAGCGCATACCTCAAGCAGAAACACACTCGAAATGAACATGCACGTGACGAGCGCGGAATAATAAATGTCATAGTTCTTACTTCGTGTGTGAGCAGAGCGCTCCTTTAGTAAACGTGGCCGCGAGCGAATTGATGTTCGTGTTCTCATCAACAACTCAAGGCAAACTTGCGGTGGAAGGAAAGGAATTACAAAGCGCCCGATTCCCGAGATAAGCGCGCGTGCAAGTGAGTCACCATGATAGAGGACCTCTACCGCACTTTGACCACGCCATGTGGAGGCGCGTGCGCAATGCGACGCGTGGGGTGGCGCAACACGCCAACCTGCCGTGCGTGTGCGTTGACGCATGCCCGTCGTCACATCTCGTTACTGATTACTAAAACGCGCTGAAGTTTCCGAGCTCGCAGAACCGCCAGCAGTACATGGCGTATATAAATGGGTTTCCGTTAACACGCTGGAGAAGGGTCGCTCTGTGGTGTTGTCGCTGGCGTCACGCGCTGAGGAGCATGATGTCACTGGTTCGACACCCCGGTGCGGAACATTTCTTCCTCGTCATTTTCTTTACAATGCTGTTAGTAAGTGGTTTACAATGTCATATCTGTGACAGAAACGCGTCACGGAGCCGTTGTGTGCCCTGGGATTAAACACTTTTATGTTAAAAATGAAAATGGTTGTTTTTCATGGATTCTAGCAAGTGCTCCCCTCCCCTCCTCCTGCAAAAAAACTTCCTACTGCGAGCCTGATGTGACCTGAAGATTTTGTTACTGGCGGCTTTTAGGCATTGCAGATTTGCCGATTTGTTGATGTAGTAGTCCACAACCGTGCAGTCTGAACACGCAGATGTGCTTACTAATTGAAAACGTGAGAGGCTGGTTTTCCTCGAAAACCAAACAAAGCGGACCAGCTATAAGAGGTGCTGTATCACTAGAACTTCGTTCAGTATGAAAGGATATGCATTTTCTATGTTATGACTGGCACACATTACCTTGTTTCCTTTCCTTTCTTTTTGAATTTTCTTGAAAAAAAGTCATGCACGTTTAGGAACGCTGTTGTTCTGTTGCTCGCAGGAATTTCCCCCCGAACGTGTCATCTGTGATGTGGCGGGAATACTGCAGCAGAACAATACTACAGTGACGGGGGTAAGAACTTTTATAAAGGCCAAGATTCCGTTTTTGAGGTTGAAGCACATCCGGACTGGACTACAGGTGGACGTCAGCTTTTATAATACTTTGGTATGTAGCGAGGTTCAAAAGGCTCGCTTCTTGTTACGTTGATCTGCATGATTAGACAAGAATATTGAAACACGTTACTCTCATGAGTTAGAACAGACCTTCCGCCTTGAAGTAAACTCTCAAGTGCACATACTATTTATGTCTTCTATTTTTCAGGCCCTGTTCAACTCTAGGCTCCTCAAGGTGTACACACAGATTGACGAGCGAGTACAGATTCTTGGGTACACTTTCAAGCACTTTGCAAAGGTAAGAGGAGTCCCCTCCTGTTACTTTAGTGCTTGTGAGATGTGGCTTTAGGGTAATCAAGTCAGCCCTAGGTTACTTACCATCGCGGTGATCCAAGGACAGGAATAGTTTGCACGGTGAGCGTAAGGCTTAAAAAACAAGACAAGCTTTCCGTCAGCTACTACCACTTTTTCCCTTTGGGCACTGATGTCACAGTCTGCGATGAAACCCGTTTGTCTAGTTTATCTGGTAATTAAACATGATCTACAATATCATCAAAATGAAACTAAAACTAACATTGTGTCATTTGTGAATGCTTCATTCAATGCAATACAGTTGTTGCATAATGAGTTCAGCTGTTATCGACAATCACTTATGATATATGGAGTTTTATGACGCAAAGGCTATTTGACAGTTAAAAAGCGCCAGGACATGCTAATGAGGTTTAACGATGGTTTTATTAAGTGGCTGTACAGTGGCTTAAGTTCTACATACTATAGACCCTTTACGAAAAAGGGTGCCCCTAGCGCTTCTGCCGTCATTGTGAGGACACCGCAGCAGACGACCCTGGCTGTGTGTCTCAGCCACGCTGATGCACGTTTCTTGCAGCGCACACAGACACCTCTTGCGTTCCTGCAGGACGCGGACCGTGTCAAGTGGGCACGCCGATGAGAGTCTCTTGCAGGCCAGATCCATGCATTGCCAGTCGTTACAAGCCAAACTGCTCGTCCAACCCGTTAAAGGGTACAAAATATTGATCATTGTGCAGTGGAAGCATCTCAGAAAGCTCATTGAGGAATACTAGGAGCTCGTTCGAGCTAGAAAGCGGTGTGATTCCAGAAGATGATACGGAAAACTAGCCACAAACACGAACTGAAACAAGCACTGACGCATTTGATGGCTCGCTTTATATGCCCTCATGATGGCGCTAGCTATCCCACGCTTCTTTGCGAAGCGAAACTGACGAATAACTCAACGTCAGGTGGCGTATTTATGAAAAGGATCTATAGGCAGCTAAAACACATAAACGGTAAACACACGATGTTGACGCGCACGTAATATGTGTTGAGAAAATAAATGGCAACACGTGATAGAGTATAAAGATATGTATAATATCCTTTGAGTGTAGGAACTGCGAAGCGGGGGCTTTATTTTAGTTCAACTACGGCAGCCGTAGCCTCTGCTAAGAGAGTCAGTTTCGCCAAAAGGGCGAAGCAATGAATGCGATAGCCGCATATCAAATGTTTTACGAAGCAAGGCTAGAAATTCAGGAGCAACATTAACTGTAGTAAACATGCGCTTGCTAAGTCACTAAGTTTTCTGTGGCACGGCCACAGTAGATGACCACAACAAGGCTTGTGCTTAGTGACGGTATTGATGAGAAGCGCCTCTGGTGGGCAGCGCATGGTGGTACTGAGGGCTATACGTGATGTGTCGCCGCTGGTTGTAGTTTGTTATGTGGAGAGCACATCTGTATGTGTATGGCCACTTGAGGCACAATTCTGGCACCGTTTTTTTAGTGTTGGGAGCACATCCCGTAGAAGCTCCCACCTGCTGTTGAGGCAAGGGTTGTGCTCTGATCGAGAACCCCCTCTCCCCACTCTCGTTCGCTCACGAGATAAGCGAACGCGCAGGCGACCCCGGCCAGAAAGGCGACTTTCGCTCCGCAGAAAGAGGAGGCTAGTGCATCATTCTCCGTATATTTTTATATACATATACGTTAACGATGGCGGTAGTGGCGACGGCAAAAACCAGCTAGACTGTCCGCAATAAAATACCCTTCTACAGAATTCCTTAGTGAATCACGTGAACGCTGTGCGCGTCTTTTAAAAATAAAAACGATGCCCCATATTTCTGGCCAGACCTATGAAGATGGATGAAGGGAGTGGTGTTTGTTGTGGGTAGCGCCGTGAAAATGTTTTCTTCTAAATGCATCTCACTCTTTACATTGGATTAGCATGACAAACATGGGAAGGGGGTTACCACACCTCTCGCACGTCGGTTCATCTTTACGGGACAAGAGATGTAAATGTAGGTAGTGTATGTTAATCTTCTAAGTGTGACTTCTGTGTGGCATCACTGTGATAAAATTACGCTTTTAAGTTATGCTTTTGTAACATGTCGTTTATTGTGTGTTACTGGAAATGCTGACGGTTTGCAACCATTGCCAGTAATCCCTGTGTGCTTTTCTCATTAGAGGTTTGAGGTCCTCTACAGGGACAACTATGCAAAATCGGTGGTGTTTTGAAGGGCGTACAAAATCAGCTGGTCCAACAACACTTTTTCTTCAACCTCATGGTGTCCTGGCACCCATCACTCCCCTACATGCATTTTAACGGCTTAAAGTTTGCAAAGTAGAGCGTAGAGTGAGACGAGAGTCATTTTGTGCTGTTTGAGAGTTTTCAGAGCTTTCACAATGATGAAGGATGCTACCAAAACACTCGTTTGCATTCAGCATTGTAAGGAAATAAGACGCGCAATAGCATTAAGAATTTGTACACTTCATCCCCCAAGTATCTGCACGCTGACGCACAGTAGTTCTTGTAACTTCTTCGCTAGCAGCCGTTTACCAAGTGAAGGTGACTCGTACGCTTCATGCAACGAGCTTTATCGCGACCAACTGCGCGTGCCTACTTTTCACTGAATGTGCCGAGCACATCGACTGCTTTAAAAACGTGCGCAGCCATGCGCAAGTCATCCCGCAAAACAGTAGCTGGTCACAATACAGAAGAGAAAGTGAAACAACATGAAACACTGAGGGTTTAGACCCGTTGATTCCTTCTGAGAATGAACCGACAACGATTACTTTCTTATAATTCATTATGTGCCGTTACTGAAATGTAAGAAACTAAAGAGCACATTCACCGAAAAGCGACGGACATTGCGTACTACGCCACGCGGGGCCTTTTACATGGCGGTATGCACACGACAGCCGACAGAAGCTTGCTTGGCGTAAGGTATCTACGTAGTAGCTCAAGGGGCTTTAAGAGCAGCGCGCCTGTAACGCCACCGTGCAGCCAGCGCCAGAAGCTGCCGGAAAAACATTTTTGTGGCGCTTTGACAAAGGACGCCGGTCAGTTCAGTGGACATCTCCGGCATGTCTTGACGCAGTGACAGCCCTCTGAGCCCAGCACATAAATTTGGCGATTGTTATTGTCTGAGGCAATGACTTGGTTGTGTGCGAGCAGCTGTAATGCCAGCATTAACGTGTCCTTCGCCTTAGCTGGCCGCCTTCATTTTGACATGATGTATTTATGGCTTCGGAACTGTGAACTCGCCACACACGCTCAAAAAAATCAGGGCCTATCCTCGGAGTGAGTGGTGAAGAGTGGGGCGAAGTGTCTGGCCGTCCATCCATCCGCGTGTTCACCCGTTCGTGCAACCATGCATGCGTGCTATCAGCTTCGAGAATATAGAGGACGAGTGAGTAACACCGACGAGGCGCGATACAAGGAAGCCGAGTGAGAGCGTCTTCAACGCACCCGCCGCTCTGCTTCCTCCATGCTTCACCAACGATCCCCCACGTACGGCGAATATTCAGGAAACTGAGGGAAGCACTCCTTCGTCGCACCCCCACGCTATGAAGCCACCATACCCACGCACAATTCGCGCAGCAGCTATTCCGAGAGCAGCGGCACAGCGCCATCTAGAATATCATCACTCAACTCAGTTTGTTCTATTCTACAGCTCCGTCTATTATCCTGTTCGGAAGATACTGCCTTCTTTTCTTTCTCTTCTCTTCTGCTCTCGGCTACGCGTGACGCATGACAAGGTTAGACTAAAAGGAGCGTCACGAAGAACGCACCTGCACGTACTATTACGCGCCCAGCATTGTCCCCTGATGAAATGGGTGCTCGTGCTGTGAACCGCAGTCACCTGCCGGCAGCCACGTGATTTGCTGGAATGTGTCGCGTGATCCGTCCTTCCAGTCGTATCGCGCCATGCACTCACGTCGAAGTTGAAGGGGTCAGGAGCCGAGCAACGCTCCTAGAGGTGGATTCACACGAGAGAACGGAGGAGGAATTTTCGCAGTGGACAGTGCATCACGTGATGTTCGTGTCATCAAAACATGCCGTCCTCGCTTCATCCGCTCTCCTTCGCTCGCGGCATGGATGGATATGTGTCACCGCTATTTTGATCCGTCCGTTGGATGGTCGTCTGCCCTTTACCGAGAGGATTTTGCGTCAAATCTGTCAAGGTTGGTCAGATTCGCGTGGCTAGGAAGCAGGCTGCCGGTTTAAAAGCGATGTATTTTAGTTTCGATAGAGCGTGCTAGAAGTGTTGAGTGGCGTGACCGCGCCTCGCCGCCTGATCGCTCCCGCGTTTCCCGCAGCGGCGGCGCTGTAGTCGAATAGTACTGAAAGAGCTGCGCGCCGCATGCAGGAACTGCTATGCGCTTCGGCTCCTTCGTCGTGCTTTCTTGATGCAGATTTCTTCGTACCTGCCCATCATTCGTGTCTAGCACATGATTCCATAGCCCTTGAAGTACGAAACGCCAATCTACTGAATTTGAGCTTCATAAAAGGCCTTGTGAGAGATAGAAAATAATTCACAAGGGGTGTCTTATACTAATTTCTTCTTTCTTAACTCTTTCTTCGTTGGTTTGGCGTCTACAATATTCAGAATAACTGAGTCGATTTATTGGAAGTTAGCTATGCTCAGAAAGCTGTGAGATTAAAAACAAATACTGTGTCACACACACGAAATACCAGAGAGCCATAAGTAAAGAGGGGAGAGGAAGGAAATCTGAACCCCCTACACCACGAACGGTTTTCGAAAATTAACTTTTCAGAGTATACTAAAATATTTACACGTCTTCACAGCGACCACCAAGTGCCAAAGTTAGGCGTTCTGCTGCACACCCCACCCACTAGGGAAAAAGAAACAAATCTGTCATGGGTAACCCTGCGCGAATAGTTTACAGTTGGCGAAGATGAATATAGCGTGTCTCTACAAATGCGCACTGTAGATTTCACCTTTCCGACAGTATGAGGTCTCATAACTCGTTCAAGTCTAAC